TGTGTGTGTGTGTGTGTGAGTGAGTGAGTGTGTGTGTGTGTGTTATAATTGTTCTGGTTTCATTCAGCACATACTGCAGGATTCATTCATGACGGAGCAGATCTGCGTCTGTCTGTCTCTCTTCTGAGTTTTGTAAAAATTATATCGTCAGTAAATCATGGTGTCATAAGTTTTTTCCATTATTTCAACTCATCAAAATAATTAATTACAAACTTCATTAAGCTAGATTTTTTTTAGTTTTTAAGGCAAGACATACAGGCAGAAACATGTTTCTCATGCACTGGTCGAGATGTGTTGTTTCAGACTAGTGGAAAGGAAACATCCAAAAACACACTTTCAGCTGTTTATTTTATTACACTTTATCCATTTGCATCTGTAAATGTTCTTTCAGCACTTATATTCACCAGATTTTACAGTTTTATTCCAGTCTATAGTCTGAAGGGGTTTACTGAGAGGTTTGTTCATTTAACATTTGCCTGTAATTTTACAACGTTTTATTCCAGTATTTCAGTATCAGTATTTTCTGATTTATGTAGTGATAAAAAGAGAAATCCAAAATCCTCTCTGGAAAAACCTTTAACTATAATATGACAACAAAAGCAAACAAAAATTTTCATTCTGGCTTTATTCAGTGTTCAGATTTATCTGCTGGTAATGTATGCAAATTAGTGCATATTTAATTAGATAATGGCTCATTGCCATATTTGAACCTTTCAGAAAACGTGTAATAATTTTTTACCCCTTTTCTAAGTCTAGTATTTCTGAAACATTTACAGCATAGCTGCATTCAGGTGAGCTGTGCAAAAAATGTGCATGAACTAGGACAGAAAGCAAAGATGAGAAAATATACAGAGCAGTGATGATGTTCAGGAATTTAAATGCAGATTCGAAGGAAAGCCGTGATGACTAACACTGATGTGTGTGTGTTAGTGCGTGTCTCAGCGCTGCTGCCTGCAGGGTTCAGCTCACCTGAAGACACTCGTCGAGGGGTCAGGGGTCACGTGACCTGACGGGGCGGAGCTGAAGTCTGCAGGACGCTCGGACCGCTGCACTCGTCTCTTCCCGTTAGCACTCACACTCACCTCACCTCATGCTGTTCTTTCAAACTTTCTGTTCAATGTATCACAGTTTCCACAACAATATTGTGCAGCACAACTGTGTTCAACATTGATAATAATCAGAAATGTTTCTCGAGCAGCAAATCAGCATATTAGAATGATTTCTGAAGATCATGTGACACTGAAGACTGCAGTAATGATGCTGAAAATACAGCTGCGCATCACAGAAATAAATTACAGTTTAACAGAGATTCACAGCTGTTTTACATTATAATAATATTTCACTGTTTTACTGTATTTATGACCAAATAAATGTAGCCTTGGTGAGCAGAAGAGACTTCTTTCACAAACATTAATCTTAGTTAGTTATTCCAAACTTTTAGCAAGTAACGTAATTTCTAATATATGTATTTAGATCATCTGTTGGGAGCACTGACAGTAATCTTTACATCTTGAACACGTCTGTAATGTGAGCGCTCGCTCATGAACGGCAGCAGCAGATAATGTCATGCTTTTAAGAGCCTCAAAAAGAATCCATCACTGATAAAACACCCGCTGCGATGAAACGCATGCATGTTCTGTGTTGTGTGGAGAAACGTTTTGCTCAGAGTACGTGCTTGTGTCCTGCACGTCATTAGCGTTTGGCCTCTCGCGCATACACTCTCACACACACACACACACACACACACCCGCACTCACACACTCTCTCTCACACACACACACACACAATCACACACTCACACACACACACACACACACACACACCATGCAAACGTTGTAACTCCTACTCTGTGACTAATGATGGTGTCTTATGGCCCATACAAGGGTCAGTAAATCAATTACACATTCTAATAAAGAAGCAGACACATCTCTCTCAGCCTGTCACCACTGATATATTACACATAACACACACACACACACTCACTCACTCACTCACTCACTCACTCACTCACTCACACTCACACACACACACACACACACACACACACACGTCTCTCAGAGGAGAGCTCAGGTAGTGGAGCACAGTCCCACTTTAAGAAACTGGGCCGACCCAAATGGGCCGAACTCATCTCTGGTCTTTGTTGCACCCCACAAACTCTGGATCCTCCAACCTATATATCACTGCCTACACACACACACATGGGCGGCAAATAACCCACTTTAGCGTCTCACACACTCGCGCTGCTCCTAATAGTTCCTCAGATGAGTGGCGCTGCTCTTAAATTGATTGAAGTAATTAGAGATTACAGCAGCTCGTCACTCATCCAGCTGTAATTGGCTCAAACTGATTTCTGACCGCCTCCTCATCATCCTCTTGCTTAGCACTCGCTGATCCAGTGTCGGACCTGAGACGAGTTCACTCAAATCAGACCAACCCATTAACTGGCACAATCACATAGCTGGAACAGACATTCAGTTAATGTGGTAGGCTGTTATTCATGCATTCAGCACACACTTTTATCCAAAGCGAATTACAAAAGAAAAACGAATGCAATTAATATTTTATATTTTTATATATGCAAAACCAATGGAAGATGCAGCTCATGTCGGTCAGAATCTCCTGACAGAATCCAGGTTCAGTTTGAGTTGCTCATGTGTTTTGACGTGAATTGAGTTAGTTGGTTATTTCAATGGGAGTAATGCATGAGCTCACATATGGTTAATGAATAAAAAACACAGGTTATATTCACTGAAACAGTTTTCGCTTAGAAATCTCAAGTAAAATTTCACAAATAATTACAAGAAGTAACAGTGAATTACAGTTTTTGCCTATTGCTTACACACGTTTTGCTAAATTTGGCTCATTGTGTCAAAACTCTACACACAAGCAACGTGACTTCAACATCCACCTAGATAAACCCCAGGCTGCTGACCTCAACACTCTGCTCGCCTCATTTGACCTCAAGAGCGTGTCTACTATAGCTACTCACAAATCAGGTAACCAATTGGACCTTATCTACACACGCTACTGCTCAACTGACAACACTTTAGTTACGCCGTTGCACACCTCAGACCACTTCCTCATCACTTCTAACCTCACACTGACTCCGGACACACTCCTCCGCAGGTCACCTTTCAGTGTAACCTACGCTCACTCTCTCCCTTTCGCCTATCCTCTATGGTCTCATCCTCACCTCCTCCACCCTCTCAGTTTTCAGCACTGGACACAAACACTGCTACTGACATTCTTTGCTCCACTCTAACATCTTGCTTAGACAACTTTTGCCCCCTTTCATCCAGACCAGCATGCACCACCTCCTCTGCCATGTGTCTATAGTGTTCAAGCAACGGGCAAAAACTGTAAATGTGAAGTTTTGAAATAGAAAGTTTTATTTATAGTGTAGAAATTCCTCTTTAGAGTGCACCTATCTAAACAGGAACTGATCACAGACTTCTTTTGTTTTCAAAACTGGGTAACTTCTTAGTTGAGTTGGATGTGTTACTCTCAAACTTCCCTGAGGACGGTACTCCTCTGGTACTGCTCAGTGACTTCAACATCCACCTAGAAAAACCCCAGGCTGCTGACTTCAACACTCTGCTCACCTCATTTGATCTCAAGCGAGTGTCTACTATGGCTACTCACAAATCAGGTAACCAACTGGACCTCAGACACTCTTTGCTCCACTCTAACATCTTGCTTAGACAACTTTTGCACCCTTTCATCCAGACCAGCATGCACCACCTCCCCTGCCCCCTGGCTGTCTGATGTTCTCCGTGAACATCGCTCTAAACTCAGGGCTGCAGAGAGGACATGGCGCAAATCAAAACACTCTCTACACACGCTACTGCTCAACTGACAACACTTTAGTTACGCCGTTGCACACCTCAGACCACTTCCTCATCACTTCTAACCTCACACTGACTCCGGACACACTCCTCCGCAGGTCACCTTTCAGTGTAACCTACGCTCACTCTCTCCCTTTCGCCTATCCTCTATGGTCTCATCCTCACCTCCTCCACCCTCTCAGTTTTCAGCACTGGACACAAACACTGCTACTGACATTCTTTGCTCCACTCAAAACATTCAAAACCTTTTCTTCTCTTCTTTGTCCTCCTCCACACCCTCCTTCATCAACTCATACTGCTGATGACTTTGCAACATTCTTCATAAATAAAACACGAACCATCAGCGACCAGTTCTCCACACCACAAACTGACAAAAACTTCATAACCATAAATACTTCCACTGCTTAAGAAACCCTCTCTAAATCCAGCGCTTTTAGAAAACTACAGACCGGTATTCCTTCTTCCGTTTATTGCAAAGACACTTGAGCGAGTTGTGTTCAACCAACTCTCTATGTTTCTTGTACAGAACAACCTCATGGACAGCAACCAAAAGCGGCCACTCAACTCAGACTGCCCTTCTCTCGACTACTGAAGCCCTGAGACTGGCAAGAGCAGCTTCCAAACCCTCAGTACTCATCTTGCTGGATCTGTCTGCTGCTTTTGACACAGTTAACCACCAGATCCTCCTGTCCACCCTCATAAAGATGGGCATCTTAGGAACCGCACTCCAATGGTTCAAGTCTTATCTCTCAGGTAGGTCTTTCAGGGTGTCTCGGAGGGGTGAGGTTG